ATTTCTTTCACAAAAGGAAGATATATGCAATGCATATAACGCTTCTAGCTGTGTTATGACTATCCCCTGTAAAAGAATGTGAATATTGTGTATTGTGTATGAGTTTGGGAGTTATATATTGTTATTTTTAACTCCTTCTGTACTCTTGTTAGAAAGGTGGGGTCCACAGTGAAGTTTAGCCCAGGCTCAAGCTTTCTTCCTTTCTCTAGTTCATGCACACTGCTCCATAGGTAAAATAGCTTAACATCACGTTCTGTGAGAAATACCCTTTCTAACCATACCATTATTCATTCCAATGGGATTATGGCTTTCTTCAAAACATCTAGCAGTAGTCACTATAATATGTAACACCCACACGAACAAATATCAAAACTCTTATAGCACTTTTCTTTGTTGGCCTTCTTGTGTTATTATTACATTTTCTCACCTGGGCCTTACAATAAAAGAGATAAGGGGGAAAAAAGCATATTTTCAAATATACACTGATCAATAAACTCAGCAAAATGCTTTTATTATCAGAAACTGAACTTTGTATTATACACAGAGTACAAAGAGAGAATTTATTGTGTCTGCATCATATAGCTTAATCTCTCTTCTTAGCAGAGCAAAGTCCACTTCCTGTGTTATTGACTATGCCAGGGTGTTAAGGTATTCTGAAAAGAACATGCACATTTTCCACATGCTAATAAGTGCACTTAACTGTATACTTTGATCCTTATTTTTATAGTGGCTCCAAGGCCACTATGCACAATGGACATCAAAACTTTCCTTTCTAAGGACTTGTAAATAGTCAGAGAATGTAGTTAAAACTGAAAATAATGCATTAAATGAACTGTTTAAATACAAAAGTAAACATGGAGTCTGCATTCTGGCTTATTTTATCACTTTCATGCTAATCTAGTTTTACTCCAGAGCAGGATCACTCTTCAAAATGGCAAAACATAATGGAGATCTAAGCTCTGAGAATGAGTGCACTGCCCTTCTGTCATTAGTTTTTATACAAAAAAAATGATAACCCAGGAATGGGAAATATATCCTTTAAAAAGGTAGTTCTAAATGTCACAATTGTTCCTGCACTTTTATATTTCACACATAAATGCTTCATAATTATTTTAATTTTTTTCACAAAGAAAATTCAAAGCAACTGGTTTGCAAGATGCCCACACATCTCCTTCCTTGTGAATCTGTTATTGTAACACTAAATAGCTGGTGTCTACATATAACGGTAAACATGATAATTGTCTCTTCACCTTACCCTTAAGAGTAGAGACTGACTCTCTTTCCAGTAAAGGCTACATTATATGCAGGGATTTTGAGTCTGTGGATGTACAGTGGCCAATTCTATGAGGTTCTTCCGATATAAAAATATTCCCCAAATATCCAAAAACAGGTTTTCTTTGTGTTTTGCAGTAAAAAATGCAAGATCAAACAATAATTTCACCATAAAAGTTGACTTTATGAAAAGAGTAATGCTACCTACTTTTAAGTCTGCTTATTGTGGCCTTCTCCACATCCTCTTCCTGGATTGTGTGCCATATGTAAAATCAACTCAGATCACTGGTCTGTGATGAATTTAACTTTTAAAAACTAATGGTTTAATGTAATCGGCTTAAGGTGATTGTGAAACTATTTTAACAGCATTAATATATGCTATATGCATATATAGCATTAACTATACGCAAATATAGCATTAACTATATGCATTAATAATGTGTATAGCTATTAAATTGCATGTTAATACCCTTGGTCCTAGATTTGCAGTGAAAACATCTTTTTTTTTTGTATATGTGAAAATGTATGTCACACTCTCTTATTTTCTCCATAATACTTGGTAATACATATTAGTAAAGGTACTCTTATATTTGCAGGGAATATACACTGACATTTCTGTAATATTTCCAAGTGAGACATATTTACAATTTTCTTTATCCTACATGTTTTCTGACTATGTTTTACTCATTTCAGCAACATTTTATTTTACTATCCATAGATATTTCCAGCATGGTTTAGCTAATCCTTTACATGTACCTACCCTGAGGCTGGTCAGGACCATAAAGGCCTTTGGGTGCACACTGGCCCCTCACCTCTACTACCAAGTTGGATGTCTTCAGTAAGAGCTTGGGTTGAGTAGTAAATGTCTGCTTGTTCCCAAAGACTTTATAGCTGCCTTGTCTAATACCTGCCAGTATAATGGTAAAATGCATAAAGTTATGCACTAAACATCATGAAAAATCTTTAATTTCTTTCATGCTTTTTATCTCTTCAAGTAAGGAGAAATTAAAGAGCTAGTAACAGTAAAATATCACAAAGATCAAGCAAAAATATTGTGACTAAAATTAGCATTATGGAGGAAGCCTGTTTTTGTTTATCTGAAAACATGTTTGTAATACACAAATAGCTGAATTTAAAGGCAGTCAAATATCATCAATTTAACAATATAATCTTTTTACTATTGCTGAATAGTAAAAAAAAACCTGAGTCAACTTTGAATGATCACTGCTTCATTTTCTTCCACTAGATCTAATGCATAATAATCATGTGTTTAAAATTCAAATACCTCTCCCAATAGCAGTTCTTTAATTTCCTTGCATAGTTAACCGTTTCAGTAAAAACCTAGCTTACCTGTTCCTGTAAAATTCCTTTACAGACAACAGTATTATTACAGACTACTTGGTACTACATAATTTCACAAAAATCATTATTCCATATGTCCTTCAAGTTTGCAGAAAAGACCAATACAAATTTTCATCTTGAAAGCTGGCTATTGTTTCTGCAACCACATATAAAAAATCAGAATGTTTCTTTTTTCTCAATTAAATGCATTTAGATAAATGTATTTTCTAAATAACAAATCTCTTTCTGGAGATGGTCATACTGGAGTATGTACAGATCATTTACACAGATATGTATTAATGCAAGAAGTTAGATATATAATTATTTGGTTCATCAAAAAGGTTTGCCTATGACAAAGAACATCAGTATGAATCAATATCTATCATACATTTAAAAATGCACATGAAAGTATTGCATTAATAACTTCTAATAAGCTCCACTGCACTCAATGAATCGCATATCTTATCTTATATCGCATATCTTATAACAAGTCCATGTATATTTCACACACAATGTTGTTTTTTGAAAATCAGATATTCTTTTGCCTTTATGCAAACTAAAGTCTTTTTTCATAAGTCAACTTTGCAAATAAATTTGCAATTGATTTAGATAATCTGGACAGGAATGGTCTAAGCAAATCATTAAACTGAACAAGATGCAGAGCTGATGAATCTGTCCACAGCATGATTAGTGAGTATAGTGTTACACAAACTTCTCAGTTTACACCAACTGAAAAGGTGCTGTACATACATGATTACATAGAGTAACTTTTTACTCTATGTAACTCCATACTAAATACATAATAATGCATTTTTTGCCTCCTTTTTTTTGTATTTTCTTTGCACATCACCCAAAATTTGGGTGGGAAGATAAGCTTTTTCACCACTTCTACACAAAACTGTATGTTAACCTTCAGAGTTCCTTTTTTATTAGGAGTAATTCAGAAATATTATACAGGTCTCTAGTGCTGGATAATCAGAGATTGTAAATATGTTAAAGATTCACAAGTTTTTTGTTAGCTGTGCAGTACACTTTCAGTATGATAAGCAAATTAGGAGAAGTCAAAAAGAACTTTCCTTTGAACAATTAGAGCTGGTGTCAGCTCATACATTTGATTAAATACACTTTATAGCCTTCATTGCTATTTTTAACATTTATATAGTGCTTTGCATTTTCAAAGAACTCTGCTGACATGGCCTTATTAGCCCTCATAATGCTTATGGGAGATTTCAGCGGCCCCATTCTAACTGCTATTTAGAGATGCATTAATTATATTTATAATGAGTGATAAAAAGGAATGTTTATTAGGAAAGCCACTGTACAGATTTCTGTGTCGTACATTGCTTAAAGCACAAAGTGTTTTTGGTATATGTTATACTTCAGATAGAGCTCAGGCCTGAACTCTGCTAATGAGGATTTTGAGCTTGTCCTTTCCCAGCGCAGCTAAATGCCAAGCAGTAGCTGCAGAGAACTTAAGTGTTGCTCCACCACCGTTTTATTTTGCCATCCTGGTGGCGTCATCCCTATGAACAATAGGCAGGAAATTCTTGGTGCTGCAGTGTAAATTAAGTGAAATTAAAAATTAAATTAGCACCTTTGCTGTTCTTTATTTCCTTATTATTTAAACACGCCTAAGAAAGCACTGCAAGTACATTTGTTACTAGTAAAATGTGACTATTTTCACAAAATAAACCTTGAGATTTGTCAATTCTCGTATCACTGAGGTCTATATGAATTCAAACATGCCATGTGGTGTGTGGGCAGCTTGCACCTGGCCTGCCTGCTTAAGCTTTCTAAATAGCAAAGGAAATAAAGTTGTTAGAATATCATGTAAGGGACCCTACAGTACTTAATGTTATCTTGTAAAGAAAAACAACAATTGGCTTGCTTCTTCCTCGTTAGTTATTATGTCATTATGAATTCATTATTGGACTTGATTTCAGAGACCCTGATCATTTGCAGGCGCTTGTGTAGTAATGAATTGCTCAGAACTTCTGAGAGTTAAGTCACTGTTACATATGTAAGTTACATAAGCTTCCTATTTAAGTTCCTAAATATGCAGTGTACATGGGCATTTCTTGGCAATCCTTTTCTTTAGTTACAGGACAGCCACTCCTTTTTGTCACCTAGTAACTTTTTAATAGTCAACATCAACTCAGAGTTTCTGAGCTAGAGCTTGATTTTTCACTGTGTATGGAATACAATACTTTTGTATTCCTTATTTAAGCCACAGACAATAAACAGTGCAGCCTGAAACAAATAAAACATCTTGTGGAAGTGTTTTGAGTAGAAGGAAAAATTTTATAGTATATTTTTAAAACAAAATGGAAGTAATTGGATGTAATTTCATTCCTGCTGAAGGCAAATCAGGTCAGCTCATGGAAAAGATCTGGAATACAAATTTACTCGTGAGAGACATGCTTCTGAAAAGCGATCTGGATAATGAGGGTATCCTGGAGTGTGTGCTTAAACTGATCTCACTAACAAAAGAGCTGAGCAGATCTCTCAGCCAGCAGTTGGAGAATATTGTAGAAGGTCTTCAAGACATTTGCCACTTACTGAGAGCTCTTCAAGACAAACACAGGAAATTGACTTCAAGGCAAGGTAAGTATGGAGGGACTTAGTTATAAAGAAAATGTGGTGGATGTATCAGATGCTAAATTCTACCTTTTAATGATGCTATGAAACTTTACTTTTCTTTTGTAGTATTTCAATATTTGGTAGTTCTTTAGAATATATTTCAACAATTGTATCACTGTGGAACTATGATTTTGATTCTACCTTTTAATTGATATAATATATATATATACACACATAGTAGTCTTCTAACATAATGAATTAAACTGCTTTTAAAGTTTTGTTATGCATATTGCAGTCCATAGGCATCTAAAGTAGCTTAGATAGTTAAAACCAGAAGCCATTCAGACAGTTTAAATAATAACAAAAGTAGGAAGAAGCCAGCTGCCTCTGGTTTCACTTTGAGCTGCCAAGGGACCTTGCCCACCTCACTCAGCCCCACTCAACCATCCAAATATATATACATGTCCAAAATACAATTACTGTAGAATTTACCTTAGCATACAGGCAAATATATGAAATTTAATTATCATTTTTCTTCCAAAAATCTTCCTTCCAAAAACCTTCCTCTCTCTCTTCCCTAATCTAGTCATTAGCAAAGTAGCTTAAAGACACTTACATATGGACTGCACTGTAGTCCTCAGACTGTGCTATCACACATCAGAAAAGCATGGAAGGCAAAGTGTTCAGAAAGGGCTTTTCTGGTGTTGTTTTGTTTCTAAGCACAAGGGGACATTTATTCCAAGGTTAACACTGTGACAGAATGGAAAACGTGTCTTCATGTAACATTTTTAAGTAGTCTAAAGTTACAAGCAGAGACTTTGTTTGACTTCAAGCACTTCAGTATCAGAAATACTCACACTGTAGGCAAATTCCATTTTTCCAAATGAGGCTAGAATATTATCTAGAAATTTGAATTTAGGAACCTTTAAAGAGCTGTAGGAAATGTTTTCTTATTATTAGAGAACTCAAAGTAGGGAACTCAAAGAGTAATTTTGGCATTTTGCACTGATGCACATTCATGTAATTCTAATGAGGCCAGGGAAGATTTGCATTAGTGAGACGGGGAAGTGTTCTCCCAACTTCTTATGCAAGGCAAGCTGCACAGGCTATGTCACTTCCAGTCTTTTTGTTTCATTTCTCAGCCTTGTTAAACCACTTGGAAGTTCTTCTTCACTCTTGTAAAACTGCCTTGGAAACTATTCTTTTCCATGCAAAATCAGTGAAAAAAATATATTAAAAATTGTTTGCTTTTCAAATGTAGTCAAAATAAAATAACAAGTGGTTTGGGAGCTTAAGGAAAAAAGATTGCAAAGTAATATTTTTTGAATGATTTCAACAACAAAACTATTTTATCCTGAAACGTAGTCTATGCAGCTGCAAATAGAGGTGAAAGTGAAAGGTCTATCTAAATCATGTAACACCATATCAAAAACAACAACTAACTTTCATAGGATTTCATCTGTAAAGAAAGTCTTACAGGATTTCATGCAGCACCCAGAAATAAGCAAGAAATTCTCCCAGAGAACTGTAATATATCTAACTAATGAAGACACATTCCCAATTATAAAGAGATTGACAGCATAAAGTGTGGAGACAGGAGAAATTAATACATACTAAATTTCTGGAGATAAAATTTCTGGAAAGATTTCTGAGAGAAGGTGCAAGATAACACATAAAGGGATCATAAAACAAATACTTACTTTAAAGATAAAATAGTATTTGTATGGCAAAGAATCTGGCTTTTTAGGCATGCTTCTTCATTCCTGTTTCATATTGAGCCTATGTATAAAAGCTTCACCAGAGAATCTCATATTAGAAACTTACAGAACTAAGTTTTAGAAAATATAGGTAGTTAAGCTTTAGTTTTCAAGCTGTTCCCAAGTTGACCAGATTATTATTTACCAACTTCCTATTTTAGATTGATTATTATTAAGCTTTTATCTAGTGTCTGATCATTGTAATGGGCTTAGGATTATTAGAATGATTAGGTCTGCCTTAGCAGCCAAGTCGTACTTGTCAGGATGTGGTTACGTAGAAAATTCCTCAGACTGACTGAAAATAAATGCACAAATATTAAATGAAAGCCTGCACATGTATTAGGTTTCAGATGCATTGCATGGCACTAGGGAGTTAGGTGTAATTCTGTTTGCATGCTTACAGAAGGTTTCACATTTTTGTTAACTTTCAAAGCAAAATTCAATTGATTACATACTTTTTTTTTCCCCCTTCAGAGTGCAATGAAATTATAGATTGTTTGCTGAAAGTGAAGGATTATTTGATAAATACAGTCTCATACCTTCAAGAGACAGAGAATAAACTTAATGCTGCTAACTACAAACATGATGATAAATCTCAGATCCAGACAGCTGAGAGTGCTTCAGGAGAAATGCACGTTTGCTATTCTGAAGTAGAAGGAAAAGAGTCTGCGCAAATATCTTCTAGTCTAAGTCAGCCATCCCAAATAGCTCCTTCCCAGAGCTGGAACAGTAATCAAATCCAGACAAGTGAAACCAAAGCTGTGGAAAAAGAAACAGTTGCATCATTAACTGCAAATGTATCTGCTCAAGAAAAGTATATTAGCAGAGAAACTCCAGTGAAAAAGGAAAATGAAAAAACTTATGGAAGTGGCTCTTCTACTAAAATGTTTCCAGAACTGTTTTTTCAAGATGTTCTTAGGGGCAATGGAGAAGACATTCTGTCTGGAACATTAGAAGATACTCATAGCACTGTCATGAATCTTTCTGAGCAGGAAGAGATGGCAATAGACAACAAATCTTTAAAAAATGTGGAGAATGAAGAATGTGGACTGACAGAGGAAATGAGTGACAGTAAAATGGAGAAAAAATATGAGATTTGTAAGAATAATCCAAATAACTTTACATCTTTGGCACAAGTATGTGATCTAACTACTACAAATCCTTCTATGAATGATTCAGAAGACTTTGAAAACTCTAGGCACTGGACGAACAAAGTGTAAGCACATAATCTTCTCTATAGGAATGTATGTAACAGAAATTTCCTATTAGTATACACATAAATAATCATGGGCTCACAAACTCAACATATATGTATCAGGAAGGTTCTGCTTAAGCAAAAAATAGCAGTTCACAATTTAAGCATACACATCCAATATCTTCCATTTGGCCACAAGTAAACTGGAACTTCCTATTTGAGTGCATACATTTTTTATGCCACAAAGAGACTGAGATACAGACAAGAAAGAAAATAATTTCAAAATTGTTGGAAACCAGTAGAAAAGGACCCCTGCTATGCAATTTTCTAATAATTTCCCAGTTGCTCTGAAAAAAGGTCAACAGAAAAGTTTTGATGACATACCTCTTTGTTCATAAATATAGGTTACTATCGCTGATCTATGTTGTAAAGAAATTATATCAAAATAGCAAAGCATTTAATTAAAGTACAAGATAAATCACTGCTACCACCCCAGAATGCCAAGAATAATATTTTATGCTCTTTTTCTCCAGATTTCTTGTGGAAGGGAATGATGAGAATCAACACGAAGTAGTTTGTTATATTAAAGCTCCTGCAATTGTTCTGGAGAATCTGATGTGCAAGATAGTCAATGACACCAGTTCCTTGGTGGTGGATGATTCTGAGGAGCTGGTCAGCAATGTCATCAGTATTGAATGCTTTGACTGTGAAAAAACAATTCCTTTCCCTATCAACATTGCGATACCATTTGCTTCATACTTCAGAGGAAATTATCGGGACATTTTGGTGAAAGTGACTGATGTGAACTTTCAGTCAACTTATTTGACTCCTATTGCTCTGGAGGGATACCAAGGAAACCATAAGGTCAGTCATTTATTAATTCCACTTCACCAATAAAGCCTGTTTAAAGTGATCATTACTAGGTCATTTTACACATTATACGGTGTTAACATGAACTACTTCCTCCTACCACTTCCTTAAGAATTATTTGAGATCTAGTATTTAACAAGGTCTGTTTTTCATTAACAGTGATAAGGGAAATACTTGACTCCACAATACTCATGATAGAGTAGTAGTTTGTGATTTTTGCATATATGTGTAATACGTTGTATGTAATACACAACTGCAAGGTCCTGCACTTCAGGAGGAATAACCTCAGACACCAGTACAGGCTGGGGACTGACCTTATGCAGAGCAGCCCCACAGAGAGGCACCTGGGCATCATGGTGGATGACAAGTTGACCATGAGGCAGCAGTGTGCCCTGCTCATCAGGATCAGTGATCTGATCAGGGATCTCATCAGTGCATGAGAGAGGGGGGGAGGAGGATGGGACCAGCCTCTTTTCAGTGGTAGCCACTGACAGAACTAGAGGAAATGACCACAAACTGAAGCACCAAAAGTTCCTCAGGAAATTAAGGAAAAATGTCTTAACAGTGAGGGTGACAGAGCCCTGGAACAGATTGCCAAGAGAGGTTGTGGAGTCTCCTTCTCCAGAGATCTTCCAAACCTGCTTGGGCGCAATCTTGTGCCACATGCTTTGTGTGACCCTGTGTGTGCAGGGAGGTTTGACTAGATGACATATACAGGTCCCTTCCAACATTAAGGATTCTATGATTCTACGTGTAACATTATTTGGTAAATGCAGGAAAACTGTATGGCAAATTATTTTGCACTTACATTACAGAGAAGTAACATAATTCTGTGTGTATGAGTCCATATTCCATCTGAAAGAAACGCCAGATAGTAATTGTGAGGTTTTATTTTGATATATGCTTATTTGTTTTTTGACTACACAATTAATCAAACTGGGGCAGATTAATCACTCATCATTAAGTCATTTCATTGTACATTAGAATATTAATAACATTACATGGTGACTAGAGTAATATCAGATAACTGGGTATCCAAGTGGCAATAATATTTCTCTTATTTTCATTTCGTAATCTGCATTATAATTAACATTTCACTCTCAAAATGCTAACCCACTACTGAATACAGCTTCCTTTCCCTCCAACGTACACATTTTCTTTTTACAGGGAATCTTTGCAGAAGTGAAAATTTACCAACTAGGTATTTTTTCCGTACTGTCATGCTTAAAGAAAGAAATATTTACCATCCCAAAGGCTGGTCTCTCCCAAAAGCTGAGCATGGATCCTAGAATCTCTTTCTATTACCGTCCTGAAACATTCAGTTCTCCAGCAGTCATGCATCTAAAGGTAGGCCTGAAATACACAATATTTGTTCCACAACTCTGTGTTATCTGATTATTTTCAAAAACAAGATGACGAAGTGTGTTAACGTCTTAAAGGTCAACCTCTTTCACTATTCAGTCACTATGAAGATTATGCAGCTCCACAACTTGTATTCACAACAAACAGTTTCCTGAGAGTTTTGTTAAAACCATAGTGTCCTCAGTAGTCATCATATCTTCAGCTTACCCTTCTTTGATATGTTTCAGAAAATGAAACTGTACCCAACAATGACATAAGCTCCAATGTCAATTGTTTGGCCAACTATTTTAAATCACCGGAACAAATTTTCTCATCTGATCTTCATTCTTAGCTGACAGCGCAATGAAGGATTTTATCACTGTTTAACTTTAAGCTGTAAATAATCTCAAAACATGCACCAGTTATATTGTCTTTCTCCCCTCCTTCATAAAAATGTTGATTCTGAGGTACTGATATGCATTTCAGAAGCTAAAAATAACAGTCAAAAATATAGACTTAAACTTTTATTTAAAAAAAAATCAATTTCTGAGGGAGGGTGAAGAACGTGCAGAACAATTAAAACACTGAAACATTTATTCATGCTGGTATGTTGCTAGGGATGGTCCCAGGGGAAACCTAAATTTTCTGTGATAGTCAATTTCAAAAAATAAATCAATTTGTTTAAAAAAAAAAAAAAGGCATATAGAAGAAGTTTTATTCATTTGTGGACTTACTGTACAATTGTATTCTCTACTTAGGTTCAGCCAATTGAGCCATCAGTAGTTTCCACATTGAAAGCAAAACATGATATATACCATTCAGTAGTGTCCAGTAGTGCACTGGTTTATGTCCAGCATCCTTCAGGCCAAGCATTTAACAAGGCGGTTACTGTTACTCTGCCCTGTCCTCCAAATCCAGAGAAAAAGAGACGAGGAGATGAGGCAGAACATGCAAGAGCCGTTAGTGCTACAGTCAAGAGTGTTACTACAATGTACCATCCTCGGTAAGCACACTCTAAAAATTAATTGTGATCAAAACAGCAAAATAAATTAATTTTAGTGGTTGCTGATTGTGTTTTTTGTATTTTAAAGTGCACACTTTCCTTAATGTAGTCTGCTATGTTAGAAGCATTAGAAATATTGGAGCAAATCCCCACAATCTCAAGCAAGCTATCCCAGGAAAATCTATATAACGTGTTGATTTATAAAAACTGAAGATGCTAACCACAGTATTTCTAACTGGATTCAGGACTATAAACACTTTATATATATATAGAGAGAGAGAGAGGAAAGGAATACCCAGCTGTTTTTACATACTTAAAATTGATCTTTGCCATTTATATTTAAACAGAATAGTATTTTATTCTACAAGTAATCTACAACATTACAAGCTACCATGGCAAAATTAAGGTTCTTAATGCAGAATGGCTATTATGTTTTCGTATGATCTTTCATGGATAAACAATACTTTCTTAAGACAACAAATGTACTGCTTCTTACACAGTTTATAAAATTAGAATTTGTAACGTATTATACAAACACAGAGCACAGATAATAGCTATGCCTCATTGCTGTCTTTACAGCATCCAGTGTGTGGTTTGGCTACCTCACACTTTGAATTTCCTGATATATTTCTCCACTTTGCATTGGCTATGTGAGTGAAAATTTCTGAAACATAATGATTTAGACTACGTCAGTTTTGGTGTACACAATCTGAGGCATTTGGCAGAGGGACAGGTGTTTTCAAATTACATGCTAAAAAAATTCTAAAAATTCGACTTTTCAGTATGTGTCTGAAGCTAAGCACTGAAAAATGGGTACACCTACAAAAACTCTAAAATTCACTTGTTACCTGTCAATTTATTAAAATTGATCAAACACACCCAGAACATGGGTGAAACTTTTCAGTGGTAAAACGGCCAAGGCCATTCAATAAATATCAATACCAATATATTTTGACAGCCAACAAAACAAGTATATTGTTCCCATCCCATACAGGGAAAACAAACAAACAAACAAACAGTCTAAAGGTACCACTTTGCTGCTGGCCTTCCATGGCCTTCTAATTCTGCTACCATGGGCAACTGCAGGTTTAGAAAGATGTTAGTTTTCTTGGTGGGGACTAGTTTGGGACAAGAGTCAGCACTTAAGTACTGCTACTTGAAATCTTTAAAGAATTAGCTTATTCCTATTATAACAAACATTATCTTTTTCAAAATTCCTCTACATGCCAAGATTATAAAAATCTCCAATAAGCAAGGTACAGATGGAGAAGGGAGTCAACGTTCAGGCTTTCCATTTCTGAAAAACTTCTTAGTTCATATTTTAAGGAGCTCAAACACACATTGTTTTTTTAAACTAGACATCTGTCTTCATCACAGATTCACATTTTGGAAGGCTGCCATGTTTCTATGTGGGAGATTAAATCTCTTTTGCTGTACCAGAAGCATTTCACCGTGTGGTAGTACTCTAATGGTATCTATCAGCACCTAATACCAGTCTAAAAGGCATTTTAGGTCTTCTACCAAAGCACATCCATAAAAGACTGTGTCTTGACTGCTTATTTTGATACAAATCCCATACAGAAAAGATGCCAACATTTTTCTACATTTGCAAATAGTGAGAGAGTACACTTGAAAAATCCTTAGGCCTTCATTCCTGTCTCGAGTGTTTTCTTTCCTGGAGTACACATAAGCCATGGCTTTCAGAAGAAATTGTTATTCAGATCTATAGTTTAAACAAGAAGAGGAGAGGATATGTATGTGGGAACACATCTGTGTGCTTCTGAAAGAAAATCTTTCAAGTTTCATTCACTAGAGAAAGCTAGCCAGAGCATGTCATGTCATGGTTTCTTGATTCTGAATATGATATCAATGTAATCATCTGATTTCAAGAGAAGCTGCTGTTATTTCCTCTGTTGAAAGCGGTAATGGGTAACAGCTATGTCTTACCTTCTAATCTATGCTGTTTTGCAATATATGCTTCAGGAAGAAAAGTTTTTTTTCTCCATTTCACATACCTACCTCTATAAAATCTCTAACATTTGATGTCTCAAAAGCAAACCATAATCAGATTAAGATACATTCATTTGGAAAGTTAATTCCAGATTTAGATTTTCTCAAGATGGAGAAAACATCTGGTTATCAGTAGAAAATAGAAGGAAAAACAGACGTACAAATACAAGCACTGCTCTTCCTGCAGGATCACTTTAAATTTTCTATGCAATCTTTTGGCTTTCCAGAGCTCTGACTGCCTCTCTGAGAAAGAATGGGGAGAACCTCAGTGAAACTTTGAAATTATTAGGCCGCAGGAAAAAAGATGAGGAATGGATTGTGTTTGATGATGTAATTATCCAGAATGCACGGAATGGACTTGTATCATTTGAATTAAATGAGCATTTAGAAAGGTAATGTATGAATAATTTAATAAAATTATATTGCTAAAATATTTAACTTCAAATGTACTGATTAAGGGGAATTAGTAGAGTTAAGAAATCATTCACTGAGAATGCTTAACTTACTAGCATCTCTTTCTTCCAGTTTGAAATACTTAGATTTGTTACTAATGATTTAGATAATCATTTTGATTTGTTACTCATAATTACACAAAATATAAATCTCTGTAAATAACATTCCATCTCTAGATCACAGACAACATATCCAACAACTGAGACTAGAAATGCAGAGTTTCATATATAATCTTTACAGGGTGATTTAGATTTCTAATTGCATGACTTTTCTTTCAAGATTTCCTTTAATAAATATTCTCTTAATTTAATTTAAAATTCATATATATTGGAATTCATATATATAGAAAGAGCCAACTCATTCTACGTTATAGAAGCAAGCAAATTATCATATTTCATGTGATGAAAACAAGGTGATGGAACAAAAATGAAAAGAAGATGTTCAAGGCTGTGCCCTCTATTATTTCACTTGATAAATTGTTAGCAGTTGATAAAATGTTTTAACATATAGATATCTGTTTTCTCTTTTTAATACAGCTTTGTTGTCATTCGCATTTCTTTCCATTTGGAAACCACATGTCTTCTCCTCTTTGCTCAGGCTTTGGAAGAAGCCATCTGTAGCACAATGGCTAATGTGGTACTGTATCAGAACAGAGAAAATCCATACAAAATAGTAGTTGTGCTATCTGCAACAAAAGAATTGTCCTGGGAACTTCAAAATCTCCATGAGGAGGGTTACTTTGGTCCCCCAGAACCAACAAAGCCATTTCCACTAAGAGAAGGAGAGCAGATTCATTTTAGATTTAGTGGTAATATATTCGCTTCAGGTAATGTAATTATTTATGCTCTTAAATGAACATTACCATTTACCTGATCTGTTCTCTGAGCTGTTCTGAAACAGGATATGCGACCATCAATACATTGTGATTACTTACACAACATTCAGTTATTTCAATGTTTTAATTCTCGTAGATAATAGACATTTGAATCCCACAGAAAACAGCTCTATTTTAACTGTAAAATAAAACATACTAGATTTAAAAAAAAAAAAAATCTGAAGAAACTGCTCTAGCTGACTAAGCTTTGAGGACAAAGGTTGGACTAGACATTCTTCAGCGGTCCCTGCTACCCTGAACTATTCTGTGATACTGTGAAACTGGATCCCTTGAAACCAAGGGGTGTTTATGTTCTATTTCAAAAGGCCAGGATTCCCTCAGTCACTTTTCAATTTATAGAGCATGTGACAGGGATTAAAGAGATTTCAAACAAAAAGAAACTTTGTGCTATTTTATCAGTGTAAATTCAGTTACAGCAAGTAAGGTTTAACACTGAAATCCATGGCAAAATAGGGCTTTTGTGAGTTCTACTCAGGTGGAGGTGATAAAAGAGAATTCTTACATATCTTTAGCAGTCAGGAAATTCCATTCACTAAGTGTCACCATTCAGTTATTGTTTATCTGAAAAAGAGATAATAAGCCTCAAGTAAATGCCTCCCCAAAATTATTTTGGGGGGCTTTTGAAATCACCTACCAAAATGTATTGGCCCCCAGCTCTCACTTCCCTCTGCCCAAAGATTTTCACATCTCATATAAACTCTTCCAGTGGGAACTCCAGTTAGACTTGAGAGCACTTTAATGTGCAAAAAGAAGTCATTCTAGAAGACAAGAAGACAGTTTTAGAGATAGATATCAGTCCTCACTAACCAGAAATCACATACTCCTAATTTCATTTTCAACACACTTTTCTTTCTTTTCCATCTGTGGTATATATTTATTATCTTCTTCCATGTTTCTTACTTTTGGAACTGCAGCACAGCCTTCACTCTCCTTGCTCCCTATGCTTAACATTAACTTAGGGTTTATGAGAGCTTGCTGTGACATTAGGCTACTGAAGTAGCCTGGCAAGCTCCAAATATTTAAGTACTAACAACAAGGAAGAACAACAACCTATTATGTAACTGGTTCTATTCGATTCATATTAACTAATCATTTTAGAAGCTACAAAATAAAAACACAGTGTAAGAAATGCTTCTTTTTGTATGAACTGCAGAGAATGGAAAAGATTTTGGAAAAACCTACAGGCTTATTTTTCATTCACAAAGAAAGCCCAGGTTGGAGCTCCAAATCAAAGAAGTGGATGAATTTGGTAATTACAGCTCACCTCATTACAAAGGAACAGCAGTGTTTTACAAAATTACCAGAGAGAGGATAGCCAAGGAATGGGAACAGGCCCTGCCATATGACTATCAACACCAGTCTCCACTGTGCAAATTAGCACTAACATTACCAAAGGTGGGTTTCTTGGGTTTTCTCTCCTTTCCCTTTTCCCTTGCCACGTACCCATTAAACCAAAAGGGAGTGTATTCTTTTTTGCACACCAGATACACACAGAGGTGTGTGACGGAGCACCCTCGATCTATCAGCAATGTACAAACACCCTTAACATTTCTCTTGGTGAGTGGAGGGGAGCCACATCCAAGTACCAGCCACAGACAAGAGATGCACTCAGCAAGCAGAAACACTTCACCCATCTGCTCCCCTAGCATGCAGAGGTATCAAGAAATCAGTGCAAGTTTCAGTAAATATTTCTTGTATCCTTGTTTGGCAGTACAGAATGGCAAATTGTAAGAGCAGTAAATACTTGGTTCCTCCTTTCTTCCTCCTATACTGACAACTGTATCACCAATGACTTTTCATTTAATCTTACAGTAAAACAGCCCTGTGTGCAGTTGACTGCTGCTCTGGTGAAAGCTATTCCTACAAAAATTAACCTTTAATAGCCTTAATTCATTCCTTGAATTAAACTTGATTATAATTTTTTCCAAGGGCCTATGTAAGACCCAAAATGATGTCACTACACTATTGATATCAAATCTGTATAAAATTTAGTCTCCATGTATGTGCAGTAACACCTGCTTTAGGTCCCTTGTGAGGTGTAGTGACGTTCCTTTCTTTTTGTAATTTACTTTTAAGTTGTCACTTTTTGGACTTTTAAATGTTGGACTTTTGTTGGACTTTTAAATTTGTGACTACTTGCTACTAACTTTAAGACCAGATATGCTCTTTCCCAGTGCGGGTGAGAACTTGAAGTCTGGTCAGACTGCACGTAAGCATATATATGTGAGTGATACAGTCATAACCCGCCAGCTTATTTACATAAATGGAAGGAAGCAGAGGAACAGTGCAACATGATCATTGCTGCTAAGCTTTAACTATTTACCGAAAAGAAATCAAACCACAAGAACAGCAATAACCTTTGGGGATATTTTCTCTTCATCTATTTGTGAGCAGTGGCTTTACTTCCAGCTGAACCAGTTGAGCACAGCAAAGCCAAGACGGACACACAAAGATAGTCTTAGTAAAGACATTTAAAGTAGTAACCACCCATGAGGGATTCTGGTTTCTGTGACAAGTCCTGGGAAGATGCTGAAAATAAAGTAGAAGGGAGGATCTTCTGAGAAGAGCACCCTCTAGTAGTTTTCTGGGACTGCAAGCTGGCACGCTTCAGAGTGAAGTCCATCACAAACTGGCGTTCCTGGCCAGCAGGAAGAAGGCAGGGCTGTAAATTGCTTTGTCAACCAGTTCCGTTTCTCTTGGGTGTCTCCGAGATGCGGGGGGAGACCTATGGGGAAGGGCCAAAGGAGATGGGAGAATTGTGATGCAGGATTTGCCACTCATCAAAAGTGCTAGGATCACACACAGCTTTTAACACTATTTCTATACAATACTTTGGCTTTTAAACTCCAGAATGGGAAAACATATATTTATTTTGTGAGTAAGAGTGAAAATGACCAAATTTATCCTGTTTCATTTATTTGTACTCATGAAACACAGAGATTATAATTCCTGTACAGAGCTTGAATGTTGTTGAGTAAATAACTGTAAATAGCTGAATTTACTATTATAATTCCACATTGATCAAATTAATAGAAATAATATAAGTAGAAATATTCTTTTATGGCTTATTTGATGATTGAAAGACTTGGAAAAATGTGGTGTTTTTTCCTCAGGGGAAGACTAGGTTATTAGTGCAGTCCCATAGCAATTCATGGTATCATATTCATTCAGCGCCTTTGAATAGTCAAGTGTAAATTGTGCTGACACTACAAAATTATTCAGACTACTCTCTGAAAAGAATCACTTGAGAATATTATTATACCAAGTGACTACAAAATGAAATAGTTAATGTAGATGTCAATATATGTTTTGTTGGGATGTAGGGCCATACCTACATCATTAGACTCTGATTTATCTAATATAATCATTAGACTGATTTATCTAATATTATCTATTACTACTCAGAAGAGAAATCTTTGATCATTATATTCTTTGAAAACTTGCAATAAGCACGCAGCAGCAATCTTAAAAGTGAACAGAATGTTCAAATATTATTAGAGGGGACAAAAAAACACAATTACGAGAAATGTCTATGAAGCATCCACATCAGCTGCACTCCATCACAGAACTCGAGAGGATTTGGTGGAAGAAAAAAAGAAAGACGTTCAGAAGCAAGGAATAAGTCCATGTAGAAACTCAATAAATTGATGAAGACTCTTCAAACAGTTTTTCTGGAAACATATATATTATATACACTTACAACTGATATGGAAAGCACGAATAAAGAATGATTTTTATCTCCTTTCACATGATACACGAGTATACAACATTGTTATATTAGTGGGTGGCAAGTGTAAACAATACTATAAAAGAATTTAGTTTTTACATACCAAAATTAATCAAAAGATTAACTCACTTCCCCAAATTACTGGGGAAGCTAAAGCTATTTGAGCTGTAAAAAGAATTGATTGAAGCAGAGACAGACCATGAATTAAAAGTAATGATCCAGTTGCAATTGAATGCTAGGGCAAGGAAATTCTGATTACCTACCATATCCTGTTACTTGCTCTAAAACTATTAACAGTGAAGACAACACTGACAGTAAAACTGACGCAAACACTGTGTCCTGTGCTTACTATCCATGGTCTGATCATGTATCTTATTTAATTAGATATATAGATCTCCATATTTTGCTGGGCTTCCAAATGAATGAAAGAAATCAACAGAAGTAGCTAAAAAATGAACGAGTAAACACAAGGAGAAATTTAAGATACTACTTATACAAGAAAACTTTCACCAACCATTTGTCATATGCAACTACTATTTACCACTTCAGTGAAGCAGAAGTCCCCTGTTAATACTCATATAAGCTGAGGATGTCACTGTAATTAGTCATACACTGATGCTATTTTATACTGCTGAAGCACAGAGAACTATCTTACATTTGTGTTTGTAGACTAAAATTTTTCTATCAATAAGATATTTGCATTGCTTTGTTAATGTGTTTAACTCCTGCTTAACTTTGGTGCTCCTAGGGCATTAAGAATAGATATTGCTGTGACGATGACAGATACACACCAGCCCTGGTGCTTCCATTTTGCTAGTTTCTATCACCCATATACCACTGTAGTACAGCAAGGAAGCTGCCACACATCTCACAAGCACATTAAAACATAACGCACACTGTTCATAGTGTATGATTTGGAGCACTGCTCTTACTTCGATACTACTACTTTGATGCTTACGGGATGCCAGTTGTTGCAGTAAGGCCCTCCCTTAACATGAGTTAATTGAATCTTTAAGGGGTAGCATTGCTGAATGACTTCTCACTTGCTCCCAACATGTAATTGCCTTTGGAGGTTTGAGAACAAAATCCCTTAATAGCAGCACACATAGGACCAAAAAAGACTGTTTACATTTCTACTATCTTTCTGTTTTCATAAATATTTTAGATTCAGTTTAAACATGCTAATGAATTCATTTTAATACCTAAGATGAAAGAAACTCCTCCATGCTGCCAGAGGCAATAGATATTCTCTCAAAATGAAAGTATTTTTTGAGGCGGGGGATGTTTTCCTTTTCATACATAAGAAAAATAGAAGCATCTAGAGTGCCCAGTTTCACTTGTGAGAAAGACAAATGCAGTCTAAGACAATTGACTCATAACCACTTTGACTATATATTTACTGCCATTTTCTGTAAAATTCACATCTAAATCTCCCTTGGATTGTGAAGATAAGACAGTTACTCTATACATTCATTATGAGACATGTTTCTACATACGTTCTCACTTTAACCACTATCTTACAAATACATTTCTGATAGTGGTCGGAACAGTGGTGGCTTACTTTGTATGAAACCTTTCACATCACTTTTTAATTTAAACAGGTTGCAGCTGCAAAGAGGTAACACTAATAATTTCTGTTCATGAAGCTGTTATTTCCTTAGTATTTAAAAACATTGATTGGACAAAACTTGTTATTTTGAACACAGGGAAAATCCAGTGGATCAGCTTCTGATGTTTAAGCATATGAGGAACACTTCTATCAATTTCAAAATGGTATATGGATGTAAAACTAGTCTAGAGAGTTCAAAAAGCTTATTTCTCCTTTTTTTCCCCATCTGTCCTGTTTGATATTCTAGTAGAATGCGGTCATGTCTGAGAGATCTATTTAAGAAAGCACTTGAGCTTTTCAGAAAACACTGATGGAAATTACAGAGCTTTGCAAAAAAAAATTATAATGCATAGAAGCATTATCAAATTACTAATCTGCTGAAGTTTTATGTCTAATGACTGTCTGACAGAAAAATAGCATGTGATCTTCTGCATTAGAAAGGCAGTTTCTTACCTAATTGAAGGGCCTTTTAGACTAGAAAACTACTTTGTTCCAGTGTTTTACTTACACTGTCAACCAGAAAAATGAAACCACATACCAGAGCAACTGAACTGTAGGTGAATTTAGCTCTTCACCACAGATATTTAAACATTTCATGTGTTAGATCTAATATACAACTATTACATTATTTCTAGACAGTACTCATTTTCCATTCTTATCTTTTAGAACTATTTTAACACTAAGCAGTGTAAAGTAGATCAGATTAAAGTCAATCCATGGGTAATTGAGTTCATCTACAGAAACTTTGAAGATCTCATAAAGAGCTCTGAGGTGCCAAATTCTCACTAATGAATAAGTTTAAAAATAAATACATAATTAAACAAAGAACAAGAAAGCACTCCAGAATTTTGGAAGAAAAGCAATGCCCTCTTTTGGAAAAGCCTTTTATTCCCTTTATTTTGAGGCTTGTAAAAGTATTTAAGAAAAGCTCAGCCTGGTCTATGGCTCAGTATACCCAAAGGGAAAAGTCAAATCATGGTATTAATTTGGAAATAGAGAGAGGAAGCTCAACATGTGAATTTGGAGCAAATCTCATAGGAAACTTGCGCATATACAACCAGCTAGCACAGCTGAAACGGTGACAGGATTTAACATAGGCACTGAAAGAGGGCAACTCAAGCTCTGAACCAAAAAAGAGCTAAACTTCACTTGAGACAAATTAATCTCTTCCTGTGCCCAGTGCTTAGGTAAATGCTTCTTGTTCTGCATGGAGTAGAAAGCAAAAAGAGGAATCTTGTGAGTCCTACTTCTCAGTCACAGAGAAAAAGAGCCATTTATTTTTTCCCTCAGAGGAAGACAGAAGAAAAACTGCAATTCCTAATGAAATTGTGTTTTGAGCAATGACTTTTAGTGATCTAAAATTAGAAGTTGAGACATGTAAAATGAGTAACTACAGCTACAAACACAGTATGATTTATATATGTTTATAGATATGCACTATTAACACTGTCCTTGAAACCATACTGTACACTATACTGTCTTACAGTATAGTTAGTACACAGGCCCAGGCTCAATGCAAAATTTAAAATCAGAATCTGTTTTGTGTATGAAGCTTCCATATAGATTTTCTATACATTTGTTTTCTATACAGCAATCACAGCATAATGCTACTGAACAAATATTTATAAAAAGGCATAAATCAATCCTTGTAATAGGATGCAATAAACATTCGGTTGGTCCAAACAGATGCAGTTTCATTATTTTAATAGCTAGATATTGATTCATACCAGGTTAGGATGTGGACTAGTTTCCAATAATGACACAAGGTCTCTATGTAGTTAGGCTACTGATTTACTGCGATCCTCCATCCCTGCCTCATTCTGTCCATTCTCTTCCTCAACATATTGTCTTTGGTAGCCAGAAAAGTCGATCAAGCGGCCAAAAAGCACAAAAAGAATATCTTCTGATTCATCAGGTAAGAAGACTTATCTAATGTATTAACATTAGTATAAATAACAGTTGTAATAGCTTTTTTTTTTAATGCTAGGAGCTATTTTATTCTAATTGACATTTTAAAATGCCATATTCAGAAAAAAAAGTAGCTAAGATATTAAAAGACATTCAAAGCCAGAAACAATCTGGTTACCAGGAAACAAAAGCTCTTGTAAGATAACATTGTGGTGGGGTGTTAGAACAGTATATTACATTTTGCATAATAAGATTCAATTTTTACTGCAAACTTATTGATGTATCAATTACAGGAAAAGCATGAGCTTTATTTTATTGCCAGCTTTCTCCATAAAGTCCCAGAAATTATAGCTCATTGCTTAAGTTGCTATCGACTAACACTACCTCTTGTCTCAGTACAATCACCAAAAATTACATTAAATATAAGAAGTGATGATGTTTCATATCTACTTCCACTGCAGTCAAAAACAAACCACATCTAGTTCACCCACTCAGCCTCAAGATTTAGAAAGCTCTCCAAATGAAAGATTTACACAGCAGAAAGCTTATGATTCTATTTTACAATTTTTTTGCCCAGCAGAGGCCCTATGGGACAACTTGCTATACTGGCTTGCAGAAGAGCTTGCAGAAGACAACACTCCACTGCTCGCTTTGCACTTACCTGTTCGGAGGAGTACACTTCAGCTTGTCAGGCTGAAGTGCCCGGATAATTTAACACACCAGATCTACGAGCTTCTTTGCTGCTGGAACAAGTCCCTTCCAAGATCAGCTAATAAACAGCAGCTCCTGTCTCGCTATTTGCGGAGGAGTGGCCGGAGGGATCTCTCAGAGGAACTGTGCTTCAGGTGGGAAAACAAGCCCTTCCCTGGGCACAATCCCTGACAACTAATAGCCCCGTTCCTCCTTGTTTCCTGCAGATCTGTGAGAATATTTCCATGATATCTCTTGATGGACTGTTTCTTTTATTTGTAACTCTGCAACCTTTGCACTTGAGGCAAATTTACAAGTAATTTACTTGCTTGCTACAAGTGGACATTTCGTCTATGGAAAAGCAGCTGTACTGAAAACATATGTATGAAGAACTAGAGGCTGGTTTGAAGAGTCTTCCAAGGATTCTAATTATTTGCACATATCATGCTCAATTGACAGAGAGCTATTAGTTTATATTTTAGAAACTAAGAATTATTCACTATATTTCATCAAAATCATAAGAATCACTCCCTGATTTATTGATTATTGTATTTCCACTAAAAATCCCTACCTTCTGAAGAGAATGTAACGGATCATTATAATACAGATAGAGAGAATTTTATTTTACTTTCAGGTTTTTGATAATTAATCCTGACTTCTGTACTTTCAGTGAATGTTTTTATTCTTGTGAACATCCTGACAGATTTTAGTGTTATCACAATGAACATCTACAGCACTTCTAGAAATTACCAAATTTGGTGCTTCACTATTATCTATCCTACTTTTTATTTCAGATTAAAATCAAGTTTGGAAAATGGAGTATTTTTTCCTGTATGCTTAAAAAAATAAATCTTTCTTTGTAATGTTATTGATTATATTGAGCTCTTGAATTGAAGCAACAGATAATAAGACAGGTGGACTTGCACCACTCATTAGCATGAGTTTTAATCTACTACCTTGTTTGCCTTCAAAATGCTAATTAAGATTAATTTTTAAAATTCATAATAATAATAGGGTTGAATTTTTGTAACTATGTTTTCACTTACTTAGTATTGCAATCCAACTTACGTAACACACCACAAGTTCCTCCTAAAGCTTCACTCTGACATTTTTCTTAAGGACAGAAAATGGCCGGCAAGTCCCAGTGAATCATCGTTCGGGGAGATGATGGCTGTTTGGTATTTACGCATGCAAATATCAGCTTGTGCTTACACAGCTGGTCACCTCTGTGCAGTTTTCCTAATGCTCCAGCTATATTCATGTAGCTATAGCTGTTTCATCAAGTTTAGGCCACTTGTGCATCCTTATAATTTTATTAATTTAATTATTCTCTTGGATTCAAAGCAGCAATTCTTTGCCTCTTTCAGCCCTCACCACCGCTCTAATCGTATTTTAGATTTTGATAATCTAAACTTTAATAACATTTAGATTATTTAGAATTTCTAAATATCTTGCTGACAAATCTTGTGATCTATATTTTAGATCTGCAGTTTTTATTTTCAGGGATCATAATTGCAAAATCACTATTCTATATGAGAAAATCACATTGCAGTGGAAAAGATTAAAAGGAACACTATTCATATAATGTTTAATCTACTCGGTAATGTCTCATCCTTTAGGATTTTCATTTTTAACTGTACAACCGAGTACATGAAGAATTTCACCCCTTTATTGTAACATTATCATTCCTTCAAGGATGCTAATACAAATAATACCGGAAATAGTGCAACAAGCAACAATTCATTTTGCCATCTAAATTAAATCCTAATACTACTTCTAGCAGTCTGCCACAAGATGTCCTCTGCAGCTAACAAAAATCCAACACCTGCATTTCACTTGCTGGAAAATACCTGAATAAAACTTCATTTAAAACTAAAACTAATCTGTAAAGGCCCAGACACACCACTGCTATTCCTTCCCCATCTTCATTCACGTACTGACAGAACTGACTATGGAGAAGTGTGACCTTCTGCTGGGCACCACAAGGGTTGAGGTGCAAAGAGGAGCACAGTGAGCTCCCAGGCAGAAACTTGACAAAATGATACTAAATTTGCCCGTGCAAGAAGCTCCTTCCTCTCATCTGCACACGCAATGGGCTGGGTGGTGGGCTTTTCCTCTCATCTTGGCCTAGGCAGCCTAACCTCACACTTGCTGTTTCAGCTCCTGGAAGAGCTGAAACTGTTCTGAGCGCACACTCTCTCAGTTCACAAAAACATCACACACCTCCCAAGAGGCTTTTACGATTACAAACAAGTCTTTACCTTAAGTTGCGGCTCCTTTTTAACCAAAATGCTTCCAATATTATATATAGAATAAACACAAGACCTGCAAACCAAGCATGTTTATGCCTGTCCACTTTTCTCATTTGTTTTGCTGTTGTCCCCAGACACAGCCTCCTTTCCTGGGCCTCCCAGCAAGGTAAGAAGGAGGGAACATGGGGGGTTTGCTCTCATGTGAGGCCACATAAACATGGCTTTTCTAGTCAGATTCACTTTTTATTGCAATTTTTGCATGAGACAAAACACATTTCAGACCTGCAATGTCACTATTCTATTGCATAGAAGACTATATTAAAGTATAGCAGCAATTAAACCCCAATATGTAGTCCTTTACAAGTGAAGTGTATTAAAGAATATTAGAATTAAACTTGCAGAACCTGAATAGACTTTATAGAGAAGGGAGGAGCACTTAGGATGGTAATAGACATAGATCCCCAGCGTAACAGAAGGAAGAATGTCTCATTGACTGCAAACAGCAAATCCAAGTCACAGGCTGGCATGACTAAACTACTGCTGTGGAAATCCCATTTCTCATCTAGCATCAAATCTGTCATTTATTTTTTATTCAATCACATACTGTCTTGTAAAGGAAAGATCCTCTCGGTGAGGTCCAGGCTTACTGAACTGAAACCAAAATGCAGTAAGAGGAGGCAGTCTGTAAAGGCAAAACTGACTCTGCTCTGGGGTTATATCAACTGCGACACAATTTGCAGGACGGACAGCAAAATGTGAGCTTCGTTTTTTAGAACCAACGTAGCTTCTACCCGTAAGAAAAGGTGATGCTGCAGTTCTCTGCTACACAGCAAAGACATCGGAACAGGAAAGGAGCTTAGTTAGAAAGCAACTTTCTTACTCATAAAGAAACCACCTACGCAGTTATAATTTGACTGACTGAAGACAGAAGCTTATTATTTAAATACTGACCAGTTAGGCAGAAAAGGAAAGAAGGAAGGAAGGTGTGTTCCTTTTACTACATGTCGGATGGGTTGAAACTGCATCCGAGACCACTGAAGCACAGTTGTAACGGAGATTTTGCATATTCAGCATTTAAAACAACTTCTTTTCTAGTGAAACAGCACTCAAAAAACCATCCAGTCCACCAAAATATTCAACTCACTTTCTTGAACTGCCTGTATCATTACAAGGTTATAAGTCTGAACTGGTAAGCATTGCTTCAGTACTCCTACTATTTTACTAACACTCTAGATTAATAACAGATTGTTTACAGAATCACAGAATATTTAAGGTTGGAAGGGACCTCTAGAGATCATCTAGTCCAACCTTCCTGCTCAAGCAGGCACACCTACAGCATGTGGCACAGGGTGGCATCCAGGCGGGTTTTGAAGACCTCCAGAGTAGGAGACTCCACAACCTCCCTGGGCAGCCTGTACCACTGCTCTGTCACCCTAACAGTAAAGAAGTTGCTCCTCACCTGGAGACGGAACTTCTTATGCTTCAGCTTGTGGCCATTACCCCTCGTCCTGTCGCTGGCCACCAGTGAAAACAGCTTGTCCCCTTCCTCCCTGCATTCTCCCTTCTTGAGCTTATACATATTAATCATATCCCCTCTGAGCCTTCTCTTCTCCAGAGAAAACAGGCCCAGCTCACTCAGCCTCTCTTCGTACGAGAGATGTTCCGTTCCCCTAATCATCCTGGTTGCCCTTCTCTGGACCCTCTCGAGAAGCTCCACATCCCTCTTATACTGGGGAGCCCAGAACTGCACACAGTACAATTTACAATTACAGTACAGTTTACAATTTGGCAATTTGAATAGCTATTATTAATATAGCCTGATATGAAACTGAATCTCTTGTATGCTATTAGAAGTTGACCAAAGACAGTTAGCACAGCAAAGCAAAAAGCATAACGGAATGGTCAAAACTTGAAAAGCAGAGTCCATGTTTGTTCCTTTCTCCCCTTTCTTCTATATAATTTCTCCTAAATATAAGAAAAAGAATTCTATAATACAGTAAGCAACTATAAGACCTTGTCGGTATCTAAGTGAAAGTCTAAGTGAAATACTGCCCTTAATCATTAATGTAACCCTGTTCTTTTAGTCTTTCAGACAACTGCCATTTGCTCTGAACTCCCTATTATATAAATTCATTATGTTATAAAGGCGGAAGATTTTCTGAAGGAATATACAGGGGACTTACCACTACAGCTGATTTACTCGATTGTTCATATCTTTGTTCTTATCAAGACCTTTTTCTCTGTAGATTTTCCTAAAGAAAAAGTAGTGGTTATCCAACTTGTTAAAATGTCCTGAAGTTCACACAAAAGGCATAAACTTTATCATCATAACCCTTTGTTTATGCGTATAGTTTTGATAGGATTACTTCCCAAAACATTATCACATATTATCTTAACTTTGGCCTTTAATCAGACCATTGCTACTTCAGAATAATTAAATATCAGAATTAGAAACAGTTTAATAGAGCTGGAAGGATTCTAATTAGATTAGTTACTATATTTCAGAATTACAATGCAAGTGACATCTTAACCAGCAGATGTCACAGAAGAGCTTCTGGAAAAATACTGTTCCTGGTATTTCCAAATCTCAAATCAATACAAAAAACCAAGTCACTAAAGTAAGATAATGGAAGATTTTCGGAAATATTGTGTATTCTTCATTTGTCTCCTCATATTGATGGTTAATCTTTTACGAGATGTTTGAGATGAAGTGATACAAACCATGCAAAATGCAAATATTGCACAATTAAAACTAGAAATGCTTTCCTTACAAGTTTTACTAGTAATACTTCAGTAAGAGCCATGCCCATGCAGGCAGAACGAAAAAAAAGTTGAAGAAGCATAAAATCAAATGTCTAGAAGCATTTTGCATTATATTGTTTCCAGAAGGGTAGAAGTGATTCTGTACTGCAGAAATTCATTACGATAACAGAAAAAAATTACTTCCTGATATTTACTTCCAAACATTTAAACAATCAGACCTATTGAACTAACAGAATAATAACTAATGCAAATGGCCAACTTATGTTTTGCAACTTTTTCTTTGTGAGTTTCGATGAAAGGTCTTTCCTCATATAAATAAAAGATGCTACCAAAAAAGTATTTTCTGAGAACATCTGTCAAGCATGAATATTAATGCATTCATTAACAGATTAAAAATTAAAAGTAA